CTACGACACTCGATCTTCAAAGAGGGTCGCAATGGGGTTAACTGTCAACCGTCAAATGGCCAAAATATTATCCGTCAACCGTCAAGAACGCAATATTCTTACCGCCAGTCGTCAAATAAGCCAGCCAATGTTAGCCGTCAAATGTCTCAGATATCCTTGATTAAGAAGCAAACGATTACTTTAATTTGGGTCAAGTTCCGTTGTTTAGGAATAAGTTTTGATATGTCGCAAAAAATATATTTAAGTAAGTCCTTTCACTTCTAATCGCGAGTAAAACTGTTTAGCGACAGAACTGACTTCCGGTGTGGAAACACTTCCGGTGTCGTAAAACGTTAGTTATTTATTTATAAAATGTGTTAGTATAAGTTCAGAGCTGAGCAAAGACTTTCCAGCAATCTGATTGGTCGAGCGGTTCCTTATATGACGCTATATAAACGCTCCACGCGGTTTATATAAAATGTTAAAAATAAACTGTTAATAAATGTTACTAAAATGTTATGATTTTAGAAATTTCTCTGTTGTTCAACTCTGAAATTATACTAAAACAATTATTCGCCTCAGGTTCGGTGAATATTGTCGAATAATCCCCATGACTTCGTCTCAGGGATTATTGAACGATATTCACCTCGACCTCAGCGAATAATTGTTAAATATAGGAGTGCAAATTGTACAGCAGTTTAAATATTTAAGTGTTATTATTTATTTCTAGGATGTTTCTGATGATGAAATCATAGCAGATGGTGAATTACATTCTGCTTCATCCACTGATCCATGCTCTCTGACAGACCTTGTGCCTGTTACCTCACAGTTTGCATACATGTTAGAGCTGTTGAATGGCAATGTTTTTACCATCATTGGCAGCAAGATTTCTTTGTTCACTTTTTCCAATTTTGATGCAGTTACAAAGAGATTGCTTGTAAGTGCCTGGGATATTTCTCATAAATATTAAGGATAAGGCCTAGGTAGAGGCACTCATCATTAATATTCCCAAATTTTGGCCAACAAGCTGATCATTGGTTATAAGTTAATTTTGTACCATTTGTGTTGATCTTTTTTTGTACTGCTAGTACTGTAGTACAAAAAGCAGAGACCACAATTCATGTACTACTAGTAAGTAGACATTTCCACCTAAAGAAGACTCAAACCTGGGTAGCATTAATACATCACTGTATACATGCAATATAAAATATCCTAATTGCAGACCTTTGGTATTCATAATTACTTTTGATTTGTTTAATATTTTATATCTAATGTTTAGTGAGATAGAATAAATATATGAAAATCATATATTTTGAACTGCGGTATTTGCATCATACCTAATGTTTAGTATTGATTTATATTTTTGGTTCTCTGTACTGTAGTTACTAGTGCATCTTGTACATGTGAAAGGATGTTAAACATTCTGTGACTAGGCACAAATTGTTTGTGGTTTGTACCCTTAGGGCACATCGAAAATGTCAGTTTTTTTATTGGTTTGCACAGTAGCTATGTAGATTACTCATAACTAGATGTAATGGGGTACTTGTTCTTATGCCAAACAAAACCAATCGTTTACCTTACGTATTTTTTATCCTCTACCATCAGGAAGCCAATTATGTGATTGCTGAAAGAGAACCTAGGGATAACATTTGGATCTATCATTGTAAATGTGTTGAAGGCACAAGGCAAATTGATTATTTGTGGTCACTGTCATCAACAGTCACGGGAGATAGTAAGTACAAGCATATTTTAATAGATCACAACGTTATAAAAGCATGGTCTTACAACATCTCGTGCATGTCAACATGTTCTAGGTAACCATGCCTATAATTGTCCCAGAGTTCCTTATGTGTATAACGTGGCCTGAATGCAGCCTGAGATACTACATTCCCCCCATGCAATATAGCAAAAAAACTTAGATAAACTCAACTGGCGATAGGTTGAGACAACATGCGGCAATAAAGATAAGTAACTAAAATAACAACGTAATTTCGAGTCCATCTGGTTAACTACTTGTTGTCCACTCAATCCTGTCTGGTATTTCATGGTCTGGGTATTTGCTCCTGAGATATTCGTCAGCGCTCTGACAGGGCCTTTCAGTGTGAACAGTGGCACCCCCTCACGAAGATGCCTCTTATACATTTTCTGTTGTCGGCTCCACTCTGTCAGGTGTACACGATAGTCCCTCCCTGGGGAACAGCACCTTCTCCAGTTGTTCCTGTGGCTTGGGCAGCTCCTCCGCCTGGAGCTCTGTGCTCAGCTTGTGACTGAAACCGGGCTCCAGCTGTGATCTGCCTACCTCATCCAGAGTCTGATAGGGTACTATCTTGAAATGTGCTGTCGATCTTGTAATAATGGTGCTGCCGTCTCTCCTTTTCGCCACCACTTGTGTTCCTTTTCTGTGCTGTACTTCCAGTGGCTCTCCCTCATAGGATGGCAAGGCTTTACTGCTGAGATCTTGTTTCACCAGCACTAAATCCCCAACCTGTATATCCAAAGTTTTCACGTTCCTCTTCCTGTCTGCATATGCCTTCATTTGCATCTTCTTCGCTAGGTCGCACTGAAACAGCTCCTTGAAATCCATTTGCTGCAGGATGACCCCTTCCAGCAACCTAGTGCGGAACCTGCGGCCAGGGAACATCAGTTCTGCAGGGGCTAGCTTGGTGGTCTCATGTGGTATTTCTCGATAGCAGGGTAGAAAACAATGCACTTCCTGCCTGAAGACCTGCCCAGTTAGTTGACCTATGTGGTATGGTTTCTTAAGCACCCACATAAACTGTTCCGCTTCACCATTGGCCTGAGGATTCTTGGGTGTCTTGCGCTCGTGGCTGAAGCCCAGATATGTGCTGAAGTTCCAGAACTCCTGTCCATTGAATGGAGGTCCATTGTCGCTGCCCACAATCAGAGGTATTTCCAGCGAAGAGAATATATGGTCCAGTTTGGGTACCACTGCTCGGGCACTGGTGGTACTCACAAACTCCACTTCAATCCACTGCGAGTGCTTGCATATGACAACGAGAAGGTATTCACTGGAGCTGATAGGTCCCCAGAAGTCTATGGCCACTTCCTTTCAGGGTTCACTCGGTAGAGGTGACATTTGCAGTGGTTCGCAGTCACTTGCTGGTGTTACTACTTGGCATAGGTGGCAGTGTTGAATGTGGGCTTCCACCATCCGATCCAAACCTGGAAACCAGACCCTGCTCCTGAGGTATTCTTTTGTTTTTGTAACCCCCTGGTGTCCCTCATGTGCAAGACGAACTACTTTTTCGTGAAGGGACCTGGGAACCACTATGCAAGACCCTCGCACGACCAATCCTCCTACAACTGCTAGCTCGGTAAAGACTGGGTCGAACTGGGGCCCAAATGCTTGCTGCTTTGATACCGCGAAGTACCCCCTTGCTATCGCACTCTTAAGATCTTTGAGTTCCGGGTCCTGACTTGTCTTCTCTAGCAGCTCATCCCATGATACTGCGTCTGGCAGTGCCGCTTGCACCACTGCTCTGATGTCCTTCTCAAACATGTCTTCATTTTCACGAACTGTGAACTTTGCCTGGTGTATTGCCCTGGGGTCCGGCATTGTGAGAGCGTCTGGGTGCCTGGAGTTGTAATCGGCCTCATTCGTTTCTGCCTTTGCTTTCTTTCCCGGTACGTAGTTGAGCTTGTAATCAAACCCCTGCAGGCGAACTCTCATCCGTTCAATTCTGACTTTGTGACTAGCAAACAGGGGCAGGAGTGGTTTGTGGTCAGTGTCCACCTCAAACGTGTCTCTGAGGCCATATAAGTAGATCTGATTTGTGAGCACGCCCCATTCAACAGCCTTAGCTTCCTTCTCCAGCTGCGAGTACCTGGTCTCGGTATTCGTCAGAGCCCTAGACCTATAAGTTATGGGTCTCCACTGCTTGGCTTGTGGGTCGTACTGCTTCAGGGTAACCGCTAAACCACGGGGTCCCGCATCTGTCACGAGTTTGGTCTTTCAATGTGCGTTGAAGTACGCCATTACAGTGTGTCCTGATAGCAGCGTTTTGGTTTGCTCGAATGCTCTCTGACACTCAGGTGTCCACTGGAAGGGGGTCCCCTGTTTAATGAGGTTTCTTAGTGGTGCGGTGACTTGTGCAAAACCTTCCCTGAAGTCTGCATTAGCTCCAGCAAAGAAAAGAAATGAGCGCACTTCTGCTTGAGATTGGGGCGGGCCGGCTGCCTGCAATGCTGTCACCTTGTTAGGGTCTGGCAAGATTCCTTCAATGGAAAATACTTTGCCAAAAAAAGTCAGCGCGAAGGTTGAACTGGCTCTTCTTCATGTTGAGGGTCAGTCCGTGGCTCCGCCACAGTTGTAGGATGTGCCTTAACACCCAGTCATGTTCCTCCTGTGTGGTGCCAAAAACCAAGACGCCATCATAGATACTGATGGCATAAGGTTCTAGGGATACCACTTTTTGGACCTCCTCATTGAAGATTTCCGCTGCACTATTCACTCCAAAGTGTAGTCGCTTGAACCTTTTGAGTCCGCAATGTGTGTAAAACGTCAGCTTTCTGCTCTCTTCTGCTAACTCCAACTGCATGAAGCTATCATTCATATCCAGGTGCGAAAAGAACTTGGCCCCATCCAGCCTGGTTTTCAGCTCCCTTAGAGTAGGTATGGTGTGCCTTGTTCTCTTGATGTACTTGTTAACATGCGGCATGTCAAGACTGGCCCTGACGCTTTCACCGTCCTTCTTCGGAGTGAGGACCACATTTCTACACCAATCTGTCAGTTCGTCCCCTACATCTTCTATGATGTCTAGTGCATGCCATTGGTCCAGGATTTTATCAAACTTCTCTTTCAGAGGTATGGATATTCGTCTCTGTTTCTGAATAGCGCCTGGGGCCACGGGTACAACGTGTAGTTTTACAGTCACGCATTCAGCTTTCCAATACCAGTAAAGACATCCTCATACTCAGATATCAGGGCGTGTATCTCTTATCGTTCCACCTCCATTACTGAGGCAGGGGCTTGTGTTGTTTGTTCAATGTGGTACTCGATGAGGCCCATATTTTCGGCTGGCTGGCGACTTAAAAGAGCAGTGTTCCCTTGACCTTTGACTACATATACGACTTCTACCATGTTCTTTTGGTTTCGGCGGAGGGATGCGTTGAGACAGCCTAATAACGGTAACGCCGGTCCTGGTCCATCCCCTGAGTAGCTCCGGATGATCGCTTTCGTCGGCTGCAGGCTGCTTATTCCTTTAAGGCGTTCAAAATGCTTCTCCGTGATGACCGTGACGTCCGCTTGGTTGTCAAGATGTAGGGTGAGAGGGACCTTATTTACCTGCAGCGTTACAGTGGGGTTCGATTACTTTTCTCCGGTTACTCGGTACAGGTAGACCTCTTCGTTTGTCTCACTTTTCTCCTCTGGTTGTCTCGTAGTTGTATCCAGTTCTCTCTCTATGGCTCTGACTTGCCTACCGAGACGATTCCGTTGTCTGCTAGGACACACCCTGGCAAAATGGTTGCCCCTTCCGCACTTGAGGCAGTTCTTACCCTAAGCAGGACAGGTAGTTCCCTTTGGGTGTGCTTCATTTCCGCATCCAGTGCAACATAACTTGGTTGTTGGTCTACCTGAGCTGTGGTCAGGCCTGTTATTCCTCATACTGTACTGTCCTGGCCGGGTGATCTTGTGTACCTCGTGACTGTCCTTTAAACTCTGCTGGTCACCTCCACGGGCCGTACAATCATTACCTGCCATCATCTCGCTTCCCTGCTTCGCCATTTCAAACGCCTTTGCGGTTTCACGCACCGACTTTAAATCCCCATTCTTTCGGATCAATTCGTTGCGTAGCTCTCCATTCTTCGTTTTGATCACAGCCAGCATGATGATAGCGTTTTCTATGGTTATCGGAAACTCGCAGTGTAGCCCCTGTTCTCTGCATTTTGTCTCAAAGTCCGCAAACGGTACCTCGCTGGGCCAGTCGATGTTGAAGAACTTGTATAACTCTAAGGTGTTGTTTCGGTATGCCTTAAAGTAGTTGTTTGGCTCTTGAATATGTGATTCGTAATTCGTGAGCTGCTCCGGTAGCGTTTCGATTAACTTCTGAAGTTCTTCTCCACCCACTAACAGGAACAGGTCGAGCTTATCGCGCCACTTACTGACATCCATCGTATCGCCCGCTCGAACCGATCTCGCCACAGCTTCCATGTTTTCTCGCGTTGACCCGGTTCTCCTTTCAGGTCCATGGTGCCCACGCTCGCCTTAACACTTGCCAAGACTCTTGCTTTACCTCTGTTTGTGTTGTTTTCTTCTTGTCCGCCTTCGTTTGGCATTTATTATATTCTCGGTGAAATGACAAGTGCATCATTTACTGTAAGTAGCTGTAAACATATTCTTCCATTTGTATCTGTTATTTAAATAAAGACTATCTGCAATGATTGTAGCATTTCCAGTCTACCTACTTTTTGTTCTTGCTGTTTTTCTATCTCAGGAGGAACATCATGACTTATTGCCTTTGAATGGGAATAATTTTACCATAGTTGGCCTCCAAGGTGCACTTACCACTACTGAGGGCCATGTGTCAGAAAACTCTTTACTGGGTTAATCATGTATCTACCCTCTTGAAATAAAGAACATTGTATTGTATTGTATTGTATTGTATTGAATTGTACTTTATCTGTGATCACCAGCGTCACAACTGTAAGCATGTAACAAAAGTAGCAGAATCTGAGGAAACAATGGTACACGAAATACCTGATTTTCTGGTCGATTTTTTTGCTGAGAGAAATTTTCGAGAGTCTACTGAATCAGTTGCAGCAGCCACCACTCGCCTACAACCTCTCCCGTGATCCTCAGTGGGGCACCTTCAACAGTCAGGCAGCAGAACAACCCAATTCATACGTGAAGTCTCTCAAAGGATCCTTGTCATACATGAACGAAAAGAACTTCATGACTCATTGTAAATTTTTCATTTGGTACCGAAATTCGATAGGGCGTAAGCAGCTCGAGTCCCAAAGGTGTAGCAATGTAATTTGCGATAAGTTTTATAGCTAAATTTGAGGAACTTTTCTTTTACAAAGAACAAAAAATCACGAGATGTTACTAAAAAGTAAGTCCTTATGTGAAAATTCGAGAGAAATAGTTGCATTTGATTTCTAGAAACTTTGACTTAATGTCTTCAATATCAACTTCTTTTGAGTATTATTCGCCTTGTCTAAAATAGTATCAAGAATATACCCGATTCTGCATTTGCAGTGTTTGCCAATACTGCTGCGCGCCATGTATAAAAGTAGCTCCATGACTCAGACAAACGTTTTGAGTTGAGCGCCTCGATTGACAGTGATTTGACAAAAATAAAATGTAGGGTGTAATACCTTCCAGGAAAATTTCAGTTTTTTTGTGTGGTCAGGGATTATTTGTGACATCACACGCGCTCTCCGCCATTATAAAATGACAGCGATCTCAAAAGTCTAAAGTCATTTAAACTGTCAAGTTTGTATCTCAACTAAAACCGGATAAATAAATAAAAGAAACAAAGAAGAAACAAAATAAAAGTCATCGTGACCACAACCAAACGGTTTCCGCTAGTTTACGACTGCAGACACACTCAGATGAGCTTCGAATGAACATAACTGTTGATCTTTAGTATCTAAACTAAAACAAACGGTTTTGGTGGCTATCCATTTTTAGTTATTTTAAACTTTTAATAACTGGAATAAATGATAGAAAAGAACGCGGTGGTTAAAATAAAACAGTTTTTGGTGGTTATACAGTTCTAGTTGGTTGAAACCTTTAATGACTAGAATGAATGATAGAAAAGAACGCTGTGGTTAAAATAAAACAGTTTTTGGTGGTTATACAGTTTTAGTTGGTTGAAACCTTTAATAACTAGAATGAATGATAGAAAAGAACGCTGTGGTTAAAATAAAACAGTTTTTGGTGGTTATACAGTTTTAGTTGGTTGAAACCTTTAATAACTAGAATGAATGATAGAAAAGAACGCTGTGGTTAAAATAAAACAGTTTTTGGTGGTTATACAGTTTTAGTTGGTTGAAACCTTTAATAACTGGAATGAATAATAGAAAAGAACGCAGTGTTTGGTGGTTATACCTTTTTAGTTGAAACCTTTAATTGGAATAAATGATAGAGAAGAACGCGGTGGTTAAAATAAAACAGTCTTTGGCGGTTATACAGTTTTAGTTGGTTGAAACCTTTGATAACTAGAATAAATGATAGAAATCGGAACGCCGTGGTTAAGATAAAACAGTTTTTGGTGGTTATACAGTTTCCTATATATCTGTGAAAAAAAAAAAGTCTGTCGAATGAGAAATATCTTGGTTGCTACAGACATCAGTTTTCTTTGACTATTTTTAACATGCCAACTTCCCATGACTCAAAATAAAATTCCATGACTTCTTTCCTGATCTTTTCCTGACATGTGGCACATCCGAATATAATTTATAGAGTACATGCTAGAAGAACTTAAACTTAAAATGACTGTACAAAAAACAGAATCGAAAATTTTTTTAATAGATGCAAAATTAAGACTCACCAGCAAAGCATCTAAGTTGGTCAAGGTTGCAACGCCTGCTAAGAAGGATTTTCGAAAGTTATCATCTTGACCAGTCGAGGTGGTGACCGTAGTACTTCAATCAGATGTCTTCTTTGATCCCCTACGTCTAATCTTCTTTGGCACAAACTGGGAAAAATTGCACCGGCCTCTTCTTTTACTCCTCCCGCTTAATTCATTTTCGTGAACAGCGAAAGGTGGTGTGCTATTACTGCCGCCATTATTGCCGCTATTATTATCCGCCATTTTGTGGAATACTGGTACATTGCTGAGTATGTGTCATGAGGTGTACCAGCAGCTGATGGTTACTTTCGTGGTTACGAGAAGAATCTGTGTTACAGATTACCTCGAGAATCATGGGGTGAGCGTCACGTGCTAAGGTCTGCTAAGGCAGAGAGGCACTGGTACCAAATAAGATTTTTGTCTCGAATCTACTAAATGCTTTCGAAGATGGTGGATTTATGGGTATTCGATGGAAATGGCGGCAGAGCAGCGAAAATGAGAAGATGAGCTCTTATTCCGCGTCTTGGCAATTCGAATTTGTGACCGTGTTGCTAAACACCCTTGAGGTTATGGCTACCACCAGCTTTTCAATTGTAATGTACAGTACTGTAATTCCGACTTTGCAGTTTGTTTTAATTAACAAATAACTCAATGTCTCCCAAACTGAAAACTATACGGAAGTAAACACAAAGAGGAAGGTGGAAAATATCTGTCTGGTGCGAAAGAAATCCAGAAAAGATGTAACTCTCATTTCTTGAGCACATAAAGGAATGACAACGTTTTCGATCAGAGCAACTCACTATTACCCTTTAAATGTCAAGGCATTTACAACTGAGAGGAGAGAACTACTTTTCACGGCTAGAGTACATTTGCGTAGACTCTGATGAGCGACCATAGAGGCAAGACCAGATAAACGGCACCGCATAAAAGAAATCGCATATCATGGACAAAAAAGGAACGAAGGGCGTCGATCTTAGAGTTAAAGCTTAAGGACATGACCTCATACAAGAAACTAGATAGGAGCAAGAGAATATCAGATGATGTGCTCTTAATGAGAGTACACACGGAGGAGAGACAACAGTGTGGATTATCTAATGACACAGTACTCGTACTGGTAGCTAGTACTGTGCCCAGTTGCTCAAAGGGCAGATAACGCTATGCAACGGATTAATCGCTATCCAACTGATAAGTGTTAACAAATCATACCGCACTATCCACCTCTGATAGAAATTAATCCAGTGGATAGTATTATCTACCCCTCAGTCGAATAACCAGGGCCTGATACAGGTATACATGTTTAAACCGTCTTAACCAACGATGGACGACTGCTTCACTCAAAAGAACTGCATGAAATTGTAGGCAAGCTTTGTATATCTTAGTGTAAATCATCGACGTCACCTTATAATAATGATACTATTCAGCGCCCGAGGTGCTTATTTACTTTCGTTACCTAGAGGAAAGGCTCTTATTAGAAACAGGGCGGTTATCAAGCTCCCCCTCTCCCCCCTCTGGTAGGGACAAGGCGCTTATTTCAGCGTTACATAACAACAGCATAATGTGCAAAACAAAGTTTTGATGTTTATTTGAAAACGATCAAGGAGACTGGAAAATGGACTTGCAGTAACCGGACCTGGACCCTTCCTGTCTATGAAGACCATTTGTTTGAAAGAAACTATGCTCTCACCTGGACATAATAGTTGAGAGACTGAGGCGAAGACCACTGTTTTTGTAATGAGGCTTTAACTTTGCGAGCAAGCAATTTAAGGAAAATAAACCACGTTGGGTCTTAATGTATAGGTGGTATCACCAAACCAGAATCGGCGCGCTTAATGGAATGAGGTTGCCTAGCACTTAATAGGGGTGCTTATTAACAAAAGCAGATTTGAAGGGGCCGCTTATTAAAGTGGGGTGGGGGAAGGGGGGGGGGACACCTGTTGGAACGAGGGCACCAAATCGAATCACTACCCCTAGAGGAGACAGGTCATGATTACCACATCGTCAAAAATTGCGCAGCAACGTTTGCAAGTTTGTCAGATGTAAATCGCGTTAATCTTTCCCTTTCTTGTAAATCCTCGCTCCTTATAGGCAAACATTTCTTTAGTATTCCTTGTTTCTCTTTATAACCGCGACGATCGATTTTTTTCAGCAAAAAAAACAAAGCGAAGTAAGATAACTCCTTTGGTGAGTTTTTATCCCGCGGGCATGGTAAAAAGTCATGAACCTTTCCCGTCAAATGTTTGCGTCCAAAACATTTATGTTGTAGAGCGTTTTCAATGATTTTAACAACTCAAAGAAATAACTAACTCTCGTATTCATTTCCGCACGCAACGATCGAATTGGATGTGTCACGCAGGTGTTCTAG